AGGGGCAGAGGGTTGGGGCAGGAAAGGGCTGCGATGCCAGAAGCAGGCTGTGACCAAGAGACATACTTGCCAGCTGCCAAACAAGCTTTCCTGTGCCCAGATTTAAAATGTTTTCCAGCCAGCCAGCCTGCCTGGCACGTGTTTCAGGAATAAGTGAGCCCAGGAGGCGGTGGGTGGGGGTGGTTCTTCTTTGCTGTCTGTTGTTATAACAAGCAGCTCCCATTGGCTGGCTTCCACCAGAAACCAGCCAATGGGAATGTGCTGGGGGCGAGGTGGCTCCTAAAACTCTCCCCCTACACTCCAGTTTTAAAACAGAAATGGAGCCCTGCAGCTGCATTTCTGCATGGCATGCAGGGCAAGTGTGGGGGGGTGGTCCCTGGAGCTCCCTGCTGCCTCTGCAGGCTGGACCCAGTGGCTTGACAGGCCGTATTTTGCCCAGGCCTGAGATAACATGCACAGCAACAAGATACAACAGTCAGGTTATGTCTAGACTATGCTCTATTTTCAAAATAGAACTTTCTAAAGTGAAAGTAGTCTGGACGCAGGGTTTTTTCGGGAAAAAAGCCACTTTCAAAAAAACTGCTCTTCCTTAAAAACTGCGGTTTACCTATTTATTTTTTTTTTTAAAAAGGAGTTTTTTCCCAAAAAAAACATGTCCAGACTACTTTCACTTTCAAAAGCTCTGTGCATGTTATCTCAGGGCTGGGCAAAATACGGCCTGCCAAGCCACTGGATGCAGCCCGCAGAGGCAGCAGGGAGCCCTGCTTTTGAAAGTGAGATTGGAAGAAGATATGCAAATCCCCGCAGAATTTGCATATCCTCTTTCGAAAATAGAGCAAAGTTTAGAGGCACCCTCAGTGAACACGTGGCCAACGGAACACTTCTTCCAACATTATACTGACTTGACTCTCTCAAAGTAATATTACAGTGCATGATTGTGTTTAAGAAGAGATTGGTGCATTAGCATAAAAGAGTCAAAACTGTATTTGTAATCTTGATTTAGACTTTTCCCGACTTTTTTGAGCACTTAACCATGCTATCTCTTAATTTTAAACTTGGCTCAGAC